TTTCTTCTCGTGGACTGTAAGCTCCTTGAAGACAATATCTCTATCATGTGCATCTGTACATTGGTTTATGGCTCATAGTAGCAGCCATTCATTCTTTGAATGAAGAACAAATAAAAAATGGAGTCCTACCTGTGCGTGGATGTTAAGTGAATATTACAATGGTAGAACAAATGTCGATCACAACAGTGCACTGACTCATCACGAAGGCCTGCTGCAAAGAGCTTTGTTATTTGTAAATCCAGCAAGTCTCAGTTTGCATTGGCAAACAAGTCAGGTGGGCAGCTCCTATAATGTAAGCTGATGTTCAGGGACAGAAACTAGGGACGGCGGCACCCGATACTGGCTTACTCCCTTAGCAGTTTGTGAAAATAAAACAACTCCCCAAAAGCAATTCCCGCTTGCCCCAAAGTTGGCACTGACTCAAGTTTTTCTTTTTTCCAGAATACTTTCTTGGGCCAGGCAGCAACTCCTCACGCTATACCTGTTAGGCACTCACGTACTCTGAATCCATTAGGGGAGGTCAGCCTGGAATGCTAAACAGATGCACAGCCCTGAGTTTCCAGAGCTGGAGTCCAGCAATCGAAACGCATAACAATTGCCATCTTCTCTGCTCTGCTGTTGAAGCGTCACCGTGAGCAGGCATATTTTAGAGGCTGGCTCCTTGAGCTGTCCTGATTTCTACACCTACAGTGAGGGACAATTAACGTGAGACGGAACAGTAATTCAAGAGAGTGTGTTAGCTTTACAAGAACACACACAATCTTTGTCTACCGTCTCCACCACAGAGCCAGCACGGATACCAAGGAGCAAGGGATTTGTTTTCATAGTGAATCTTTGTACTGAAGCAGCCAGTTAATCAAAGCAAAACAAAAAATCCCTACCAGCCCAGACTACCTATTAATTTCAGATGGAAAAGCCCTACATATTAAGAAAAAAGAAAAAAGAAGAAAAACTTGACCTATGCTTGAGATAGATTGGAAAGTTAATTTGGATGAATGGAAAGGGGTAGATAATATTAAGTTGTCATTGTAGAAAATAAGTTTTGGACATTCTGCTTTCACAGTACTATCTAAACTTATAAAAATACTCAGAGAGGCAGAAAGAAGGACTAAATTTAGATCCTCATTTAATGCATTCAACAGCATGATTCATTTTCCCCCTGCCTTGGTGAAGCCTGGAGAATCTGAATATACAGCAGGCAGCACATGGATGCCCCGTAAATAAATAGAACCCTCATTCATTCAGACGCTGTACAAAGCCACCCACACCCACTTTCTCTGCCACCGTAGGTGCTCTTCCAGGCCCCAAACCATAGGACCAGATTTCTAGGCTGGTGAGAATGCAGCTGACTTTAAATCTGCTCCAGCTCTGCCATGGCTACCGGTGGGAATTTCTTCTCCTGCTCCCATGTGCTAAGTGACTTTTCCCCTTGAGCTCCAGCGGGATCCTGCCCGGCTCTCAGAGGCCACTCAACACGAGTCACCCGAATGAAGCTGCCCAGAAGGATGTCATCATTTGGGATCCATGTATTTAACAACCTGGAGGCCAAGTCACATCATGATAGGCCTAAATTGGGTCTTAGAGGACTAATATTATATATAGCATAAGTACCTGAAAATAATTTTGGCCTGTTTGAACAAAATAAAAAGCAAATACCAACCAACCAAGAAGCAACAGCGAATTCAGTACCTACAAATTAAATCAGTGCGAGGCACAGAAGTCAGAGGACAGCAGACTGTCACGGTTCTGTCTCCACTTTTGTTATCTTTTGCTTCCGATCAACACCTAGGGGAACACTTGAACCTCCATAGATACTTTAGATTAAAGGCAGACTATTATTTATGTTAGCCCAACGTGGCTTAGAGGAGAAAAGTGCTTATTCTGTGATTTTATGTGACTCCATTCTTTTTTCCTTTGAGTTTAGCTTTTAAGCACATTTGGAAAGTAACCTTACATGTCTCCTTCTAGAATCTTTGACCTTACTGGTTGTTTCTATGTTTGGAGCAAATGTCAGGAAAAAAGATGAAATGTACATTAAAAATCTTAGGTAACACTATCTCCCAGAAGTGAGGACATTCGAGCTGTCCTCCCTTCTGAGGTATAAAATAGGTGTTAATAACCCATCCCGAGGACCCCATTGTGCGTCCTGAGTAAGAAAGATTATTTTCCCAAACATGAAATGGGTCTAGCAGCTTTGAAGTCGAAAATGAAAAGAGTTAAGCTATGGCGTGCGTGCATGTTAGGATGAGTCACTCTGAGATGTGTTTAACGAGCACCACTTGGACGAGAAGCCTAGACAGGGTACATCCACAGGATGGGACTGGGAGACCCTGGACAGGGCTGTGGGTCCAGGCAGATATGAGGTCCGATCAGCCCGAATACATGCTTCACACACCAACCTGGGCACGGCACAGAGAAGAGGCAAGACAGCAGAGGGCAGCATAAAGGATTCGTGCCTTTCTCAAACAGCTTCATGCTGGGGTCACCTGGGCAGTCAGCTAGGCCTGCCGGGGCCCCCCAAGGGCCGTGGCACGAACACCAAATCATTTAGAGGACAGGGATGTCCAGTGGCCCTGGCCAAATGCAATGACAGATTTGGGGGTGGCCTTCTGTATCCATTTGAGAAAGGACCAATACTCTTTAGCACTCTAGACAGAAAACTGGCTGATTTAGCTTAGAACAGTGGCTACTGCCGTAGCCAATCTCAGAAGGTCGCAGGGAAGGGAAGGGGGTGGGGGAAGGACCCGGAAAAGGCTGCATCCATCCAGGGCTGGGGCAGTGACAGATGGGGATCTGGGGTAGGAATTTGTTCTCACACACATAGAGCACCACAGATCTAATTCACTGTATGGGAATCTATTTTCGTACTTCACTCACACAAGACACCTCTCTTCTGTCTCCGGGGGCGGGGGTTTTCAAGTTCTAAACTACAATCAGCCCTTCTTTGAAAATAGCAATAATAGATCCTCTGATTCAGCCAGATGGTGGTGTTTGTTGCACTAGGCTCGGTTCATAGTACAACATCAATAAATGGCCACGTGTAGAGGGACAGACAGAATCCCATTTATAAAATCTATGCCTCCCTTCTCCCATCTTACATTGTCAAAAAAACCACGGGGGCTTCATTTCATTTTGGGAAGAAAGGAAAGCTTGGAGAGGCAAAATAATGCAGCTAAGTGGAAAAGCAATTTCTGGGGTGTGGCGGGGGGTAGCACATATAATCTCTGAGGAGCATACTAGGTGGGCTTTTAAGCTTTGATTCACCTTAGGGATCCTTTGGGATCCTGGAAGGCTCTCAAAAGGATTACCCCATATTTAGGCAGCTGTCTTGGTGAAGGCTGCACATGGTCATGAAGACGTAATAACCAGGGGAAGAGTTGGGCATGGGAGCCCTCGTCTGTAATCCCAGCACACTAGGCAGCTGAGACAGGAGGAGCCCCCACCCCCGTGACAAACAAAACAAAACAAAACAAAACACACACAAGGGAAAGAGTTGAAATTCCTTCTCCATGAGTTGGCCAATTTGCAAGAAGCAAATATTTGTTCCAGTTAAGAGTTCCAAAAAGTCTTGCTTGCCTCAGATAATACATCTGGAGTAGGAAAGGGTATTTGTTTAAAATCCCTCACGGAGGGGAAAATGACGTGTTGTGTGTCCTGTTGCCAGTAGACACAGCCCTTTGCAGGCCTGAGCCCTCTCATCTGGTGCTTTGTCTTTGCCTTCCGGGGCTTGGTCATGCTTGGGACGGGCAGGGGGAAGGGGATGCTGGGTAGTCTCCCCGCCTGCTCTTAAAGAACTGTACTACCTGGTTATTCTGAGCCCTCTCATCTGGTGCTTTGTCTTTGCCTTCCGGGGCTTGGTCATGCTTGGGACGGGCAGGGGGAAGGGGATGCTGGGTAGTCTCCCCGCCTGCTCTTAAAGAACTGTACTACCTGGTTATGTAACCCTGAGCCATGTTCACAGTCCAGGGCTCAGATGGTTAGCCTGTCAGCAAAAAAAAAAAAGAAAAAAAAAAGTATGAAAAATGTTAATTCAACAGTGTTGGAGGCCTACTATTTCCAGAACTAAACTCCTCGGGGAAAATGAGAAATAGTTGCCCCAGGGGTTCAACTCCTCCGTACTGAAAGCTGTTTCTTTCCTAATGCTTTCCTCCCAAGTAATTTCCCAATGCCTGGTGTGCTCTGACATTTGGTCCAAATAAAATCCTGGAACAAACTCCCAGGCTACGGCTATCTTCACATTCCACCCAAAAGGAGCGTTTAACCTAGAGAATCATCGTCTATTAGGGCTTGGAGAAATGGGCCCAAATGGGGGCCTGCTGGCACTCAGTCCCCACACTTAAAGTAAACTCATGATACAGATATGATTTCCTTTCCTAGTGTTCATGGCAAGTAACTCAGTCTATGACCTAAGGCATTTTCCATACTTCCAGGCAGTGAATACTACCTTCCTACAAGTCTCAACAGCACATAATTTAAGACAGTGGGAAAGGGAATTGGAGAATAGTTTCCAGTGCAAAGAAAATACCATGCAGATGTTCGCCCTTAACTCTTGAATTCTGATGGCAAAATTGAAAATTGTTTATTTGTTACAAAGTCAAACTTAAGGAATTTTCTAGTGGCTGTGGGCTGAGGGCCGGAGTAGCAGTGGGGAGTTGTGACGATATATTCTTTATACTGAAATGTCCAACACATGGCCCTAGGATTTTAATTCACAAAAAATTTTAGATATTTTAAAATGGTTCATTTTTGGATCAAATTTGGCATACCAGATGTCAATTTGTATCACAGAAAGGCATAGCTGAAGATACACCCAAGAATTACTTTGCTAAAATTGTATGTTCACCTTCTGGAATTTTTTTTTCCCCCAGAGATAGCAAGCTAGGAATTGGTCCTCTATCTTGAGCCATTTATTGAGAACAAACAAATGAACTCGGAAAAGACATGACCCAATTGAAGTTCAATACCTGACTTTGGTGTATGAGAATCATAAACTTGCTTACGGTCTATCTGGTCCGCAAACACTTCCCCGTAAATCATCCAGTAGGGCATGTAGAAGATGTTCTTGGCCAGTTTCCATGATGGCTCCTCGTTGGGGAAGAGGATGGCTTGCCGGGCGACTCCAAAGCTCATCAGCACCACCAGCATAATGATGACAAAGTACATCATGTCTATCATCTGGAAGGGTGGAGGAGCAGAGGGAGAGACAAAAGGAAACCTGCGTGACTGAGCATTCCTGTGAAGGCTGATACTGGCGGAGACCTCTAAAGCAAGTTCACTCTCTAGACTGCTGATGAGCATGTTTAGATAAGGAGCTGTGTCCTGATAAGAGGACACTTGGTCCATTGAAGTTAAGGTCCATCTAATCTTCTTTGTAACTCAAAAGATTTACATGGTTAAAAAGTGCATACACAGTGGAGCCCCTTCATTTTTCATTGCTATCTGTGGGACATAGGCATGGAAGTCATATAATGCAGATGCCTGGGTCTCTAAGGGAACTGCACTGTGAACTTTTTATCTACTATTGGTAAAAGCAAGTGTCCTCTTTGGGTCTCTCTTTAAAATCAGAAGTCAGAGAGTTGAATTATTTCAAGAATTAATGCAATGCAGTAAGTTCCCTTTCTCATTTTTAAAAGGCTAATGAAGAGCTGGAAAGAGTAAGAAAATAATTTCTGATACATAAAGCTTAGACAAACCAAATATCTCTCATATTCTTATTCTTGTGACCTCATCCTACTGCATGCTATTCTGCTACAAGCCAGCCTACCCAGAAAACTGTGCGTTTTATACTTCTGCAAGGCCTCCTGTAAGTGACGGCCAGTGTTTTCTGAAACATTAGAACCATGTGACCCAATGACCCCTACCCGTGCCTGCTGTTAGAATGATGGATTTTCTCCTTGACATGTTTATAAAACTCCCCTGAATGCATTCTAGTAACAAAATTATCACTTGTTCCTCTTTCTCTCTTTTTTTTTTCTGTTTGTTTCCATGGTACTTTTGGATCTATTTCTCATATGCCAAATTGCTTTCTTTTTATCACCCAAGAAGAGGCTGCAGAAACTATTGATGTTGCCTGGCCGGAAGCCATTACAGTATCTTCTTTTAGAAACAGTTCCTGCCCATTTGGCCAGTAGGTGTGTTTTCCAGGCTAGGTTCATGGTGGTTTCTCACCCCCTGGAAACAGGGATGAGAGATAGATATGTGACAAGAGACAGGCCAGCCAGATCCTTTTTTCTTTGTTTAACTGAAACTGTGGGAGACAGGAGTTCCCTTTCCTTCTTCAAAATGTTGTAAATTCAATGAAGCAGATATGCAAGAGAAAGAGAGCCACTGTTGGTATCGCCTGAGTCCCTGCTTGCTGGTTCATCCTGTCCTTTTATAAGTCTGTCTTTCTGTAGGGGTTAAGCCAGTTAGAGACTGGTTTCTACCCCTTGCATCAATGTATGTACTATAAAAATTACCTTCTGTCAGATACCGTAGGTCCAGAAGGAATGCCCATCCACAAAGAATGACAAGTAGTCATTTTATCAATGATGATGCAGGGGCCACATCAGTGTTTCAGGGAGTTTGTCTGTTGTTAGTCCTGGGGATTGAACCCAGGGACTACTGCGTGCTAAGCACATGTTTTGCCACTGAGCTACACCTCCAGTCCTCCAAACTAGTTTAAAACTTTGTTTTAAAAGACTATATTCCATGATGCCTTTCAGTGGGACTCAAACATTACAGCCTTCCTGCATGCCTTGGGACACTGGACTCTCAATACATTTTAGGCCACTTAATCAGTTTTCGGGATAGCTTCAAAATTCATCATCCCAAGTATCATATATATATTTAGACCAAATAGGAATCTCTCCAGATTGGACATCCAGTCTTATTTTTTCACGCAGCTTAGCTATTCCTTTCAATTTAGTGGTCTCAGAGCTCTCAGTGAGCAAGCTGACTTGTGGAAGTGATTTTATAGGAAATACGGGTCTAGTTTTCATCCCTACTCTCTTTTTTAGTTTGTAAAATTCTTCCATCACTTATTTACAAAAAGGGTCTATCAATGAGAGAGCACACATGGGTCTTTCGTGTTATGTTTACTTAGCATTGATTAAAATAGGGGTGGGAGAGGAAGGTGCATCCTCACGAGATTGAACCAAGAAAATTCAGCCGGTAAATACAGAAGCTGCACAAATTTAATTTCCCAGGGCTGTTTTCATTCAAATTGATTCTGTCTCCTACCCACAGGGTCAAGACAATCAAAGAGAAGAACATTCTTCCCATGTGCTTCGCTTCATATAATTCCAAATCTTCAGTTCTATTCGAATATCAGAATTTGGGCATTATTAGGGCTGGTTCCCCTTGTTTTATTTCTTTTTTTAATTTTTAAAGTTTTTTGGTTTTTTTGAGACAGGGTCTCACTATGTAGTTGAGACGGACCTGGAACTCACTATGTGGCCCAGGCTGGTCTCAAACTGACAGCGATCCTCCTGCCTCAGCCTCCCGAGTGCTGGGGTTACAGGTGTGCGCCACCATACCCAGCTTGGTTCCCCTTGTTTTAAAGCTAAATTATCCGGTTAACTCAATAAGATTCTGTGCCATTCTTGATCTTTCCAGGTGTTCATCGGGGGAGAGTGTATACAGCAGCGATTAAGCATTCTCAGAGGTCAGATAACCTGGTTTTCATCTTTGCTTTGCCAGTAAAAGTAGCTACATTAAAAAAAAAAAAAAGTTTTTCTGACTCCCCCCACCCCACCTGGCATTACAATTTTTAAAAAGAAAAGGAAAGCTAGCTTAGTGGCCTGGGGAAGATTGCTTATTCTTTTTTAATTTTACAAAATAGAGATAATAATATGTGTCATTTTGACAAAGATGAAACGTGACGCTGTGTGAGCACGTGATGTGGCGTGCTCTGAGTCCACATTAGCGCATCATAATTAGGCTGGGGAGGAAGTCAGGCTGTGGAGTCAGGAATCCAATGCTACCACTGTCCATTGCTGAGTCTCAGTTCATTCAGTCGTCAAACGCGGAGACTAAAATCTACTTCCTGGGGCATAACAGTAAGTGTGTGTTTCACATGGTCCCTGGCCGTGCCGGGCAAAGCTGTGCAGGCCTGTTAATCCCAGAAGTCAGGAAGCTGAGTCAGGAGGATCGCTGCGAGTCTGAAGCCAGCCTGGGCTGTATAGTGAGTTCAAGGCCTGACTAAACTGCACAGGACTTTGTCTCAAAAAACAAAACAAAACACCACATGGTGCCCGGCAGATGTAAACGAGAGCCGCCACTGTTGTTTTTATTCTGCATTGTACAAGCGAGCCTCACAGTAACTAGGCTTAGACAATTCCCCTGAGAAGGGAATGTGAAGGGAGAGTCAGGACCGCGAGGGACGCTGCACCTGCACATCAGCTGGAATCACTGGAGATGAAGTTTCCCATGCCGCTAGGCACATGCATGCTGGCTTCTCACACAACACAGACACACGAGCCAGTGCGGGGCGGATGCCTGGTCCTCCAGGACAGTGATTATCTGGCTGTGTCATCCTGAAAAGGAACGCTCTGTACAATTGCATCTGGTTCATCCTGTTAAGCTTCAGTCTCCAGTCCATCGGGCTCACTGATAAATTCTACGGGCATATTTTATCCATATTCTGGGTCAGTGGCTCAGTTATTGAACTAATTATCTCATTTTTGGTTTCAGTTTTTCTTTTCTTCAAGTTTTGTTTTTAACAGGACATGTTTGCAGTACATAGTAATTATACTCAACATGGGGGGTCGGTACCCGCACCTAATGCATTTGAATTCTTTTTAGGTTCCTTACCCTTCCCTCCTAGGCACATTTTTCCTTTCTTTCCCTCCACTTCCCTCTGTCTCCTGATCTCCTTCCCATTTGAGAAAGATCTCTCTTCCTCCTTCTTATTATCTAACCCTTATTTTTGAACTAATTATCTTATCAGCCTTATGAGAGAGAAGCCAATTCCCTAAATGTCCTCAATTTGTACTTACTCTCCACTGATAGATGAAATTATTCATAGGTTAGAAGGTAGAAAAAGTGAAGAGCATCCCTCCTGCTTACCCCTTGGTAAGGTTTCATTTTCATTCTTGTCAAAAGTGGGATAATTATTCCATTATTAAAATAATAGACTTGGATTTTAAAATTATCTTGCTGCATTAGCTTGTTTTTAGTTATTCCAAGTATTCACGTGCCACCGTTTTTCTTTTCTTTTCTCCCCTGCCCCACTTTTTTTGAGACTAGATCTGTCCATGTAGCCCAGGCTGGACTAAACTCTTGATTCTCCTCATCCTGCCTCAGTCTCCTGAATGCGACACATGAGAGCCCACCCAGTTTTTATGTATGTATGTATGTATGTATTTATTTAGCAGTAAGAGGATTGAACACAAGCATCGCTGAGCTACAGTCCTGTCCCTCTTTATTTTTTATTTTGAGAGCATTGCTAAGTTGCCCAGCCTGACTTCAAACTTGTGATCCTCCTGCCTCAGCCTCCAGAATGTCTGGGATTTCAGCCATGTGCCTCCACGTCTGGCTCTACTTAGCCTATGAAAGGTAGCACATCTGGTTCATTTGGGTTGTTGGAGATTTTGTTAAAATAAAGTAAGGTAACAATCCGAAAAAAACAACCACTGAAGTTAAAAATCCCCTAATGCAGTAGTCTTCAACAGAGGACAGTTTCATCCCTGAGGGGAATCTGGCAATGTTTGGAGACATTTTTGTTGTTATGACTACATGTGTGTGTGTGTGTGTGTGTGTGTG